ATTTTATTGCAGGTTAGGAGGAAGAGCCTGTTCTGACAAAGCTGCAGGAATGCCAACACTTTCTATGTAAAGCCACTGCAGAGGCCAGCAGCTGAGGTGGCCCTGACGACAAGTGAAACCCGGTGCAGACCTGCGCCCTTCCCCAGGCCGAGCATCAAGCAATACTCCGTCACTGAGATTCTGCCGTCCTCCAAGACAAGTCTTCCAAGCGGGGCACTGAAAGGACAAGAGCCACAGGGAGGGTGAGCATGGGGTCCAGCTGTCTGGCCTGAGCAAGGTCCAGGAACAGTGACTGCTTATCCCTGGCAGGTGAACTAAATCGCCATTTTCCCTGTGCCTCCCCCACTTTAAAGGGATAAGGAGAATCCCCACATCACTGAGCTTGCTATCACCCCCCTGCGCTCTGCCCAGCACTAGCACATGTGACCTGCAGCAAGGACGAGTATTAGCTATGGTCACACTTCAAAGATAGGTCCCCCAGCCCCATCCGGAGATCTGCAAGACAAAGGCTATTATGGGATTCTGGGTGTATCCCTCTGAGGGTACCTGTCATGAAAAGCCTGATTTTATAGAGGATAAATGAGAGACACATGTTCAGGGCAGGGCCCACACACAGAGGAACAGCCAGACCTCTCGACCCCCAGGGAAGGGTTCTGAGGAAGTTTAGCCTAGTTTCCTCCCCACATGTCATTGGCCGGTGCCAAGCCCCTACACACGGAGTGTGGTCAGACCCCCATGCCTTCCGCCACTACAGCAGAGTCAGGATGAGGAAGGACGTGGTCAGAGTCAGGAAGAAGGAACAGGGTGGTCATTTCTAGAAGCAGACACCTACTGAGACCAACACAGCGATTCTAAGGGGGACCATTAGATACAAACTTCTAGACGCAGCCCAATAGCTAAATGCCCTGCTCCACAGGGACTGGTGACAAGCAGACCTCAGGCATCCATATCCTGCCTTTCAAGGCCAGCCACGTGCCCACTTTCCTAGGAAGTGGGCATGCAAGGCGATGTCTCCACAGGTGACGAAGAGCGAGGCCGGCCTCGCCACAACCCCACATACCACATACCCACGATCAGAAGCACAGTTCCATCTGTAAATCCTGAGAAAGTCATGAACCTGGAGAGCTTTCAGGGGAGACAGTGATTCTCTCCTCCACCCACTCCCTGGCCCTGCATCTTTATCCTGGGAAGCATCTTTATCCTCACCTGCCCATCCCGACATGACACCCAACCTACTTATGGCCATCAAGTCGTAGCAGTCCTTCTTGTGGAAGTCAGCCCAGGCCCTCATCTTGCAGTACTTGCCGCAGGTCAGGATCCCGTAGCAGCGGGGGCAGGGTGTGAGGCGGACCCCAATGGAGCGGCCACACTGGTAGCAGAACTTGAAAAAGGTAAGACTGCAAGAGAGCCCCAGGTCAGGTCTGTGCCCAGCACCTGTGACATTCATCCTCAGCCTCCCCACCAGGAGGGACGGCCACCACAGATGGTCAAAAAGCCTGATGTCCTCACCCAGGATGGCCTGCACACAGTTATTGTGAACAGGAAACATACCAAGCCCTTAAACCCAGCTACGGGAGCAATAAGAGCTGCTTAAGCAAGCACCGTTCATCCATCCAGGGGCTGCCCGATGCAGGGACTGGGGACAGAGCATAAGCACAGGGGAGATGGACAGTGACTGCACTGCTGGACTGAGCCAGGGAAGTCTCAAGATAGCAGCCTTCTGTGCTCCCAGAGGTGGTGTTCTGGCCTCTCTATCCCCGCTCCTGTTCCTTGGGGGGTTAATGGTGGTGTTGTCCCAAGAACGCGTTGGCCCTGCGTTGGCCCTGCACGTTGGCCCTGCTCAAGGAGTACACACGTGACTGCCTGCCGAGACTCCTCTGTCACTGCGACCCTCCCCTACAAGGAGTTTAATGGTGGTGTTGTCCCAAGAACGCGTTGGCCCTGCTCAAGGAGTACACAGGTGACTGCCTGCCGAGACTCCTCTGTCACTGCGACCCTCCCCTACAAGGAGTCTATCAGCAGCCTCCCAGAAGAGCACAGCCCAACCACTCCTTTGCCCTGGGAGGTGGCCAACCTCCTGAAGATGTGGAGCCCACCTGTGCTCCACCCAGGCTACCCAGGGCGTCTCCCTGAGTGTGCCCTGAGATCCCCATCTTTGAACTTTCACCCTGCCTGGAGCCCATGCCTGTGAACCAACACTGCCACTGTGGTCCTGCACGGGCAGTAGGGCAGGGCCCATAGCACTTACTGAAATTTCTTATCTGTAGCAGAGGCCCTGGACAGGCTGGAGCTCTTCTTCATTCTGTGGCTGGGGGACAGCTCCGCTGTAGAGAGACTTGAGTCAACACCTGGCAGTCAGGGGACTGTCAAGGCTCTGGGGGGGGCCATCACTGATGGCCATCGTCTGTGCATACGTGGGGCTCCCCCGCCTGGACCCCCTTTCCAGCTTCCACCTGCACCGCCCACCCCCTTTCAGGGTCCCCTTCATCACACCACTAAAGGCTACCAGGTGGCCTGACCCAGCTCTCTGAGGGGAGTTGCCTTAATGGTCTCCCACTTTTCTCTGAAGTCCTGATTGTTCTTCCAAGTTCTTTGGTTGTAATTTGCCTAGAGATCAGCTGGGCTCATTTTGTGAAGTCTACAGTGATGGTTAATCTTATTAACTTGACAGGATTTTAAATCACCCAGGAGACTCTGGGCAGGTCTGTGTGGGTGTTTCCAGACAGGTTTAACTGATATGGACACACCCTGTTCTAGTTTGCCCTCAAAGGTTGTGACAAAACACTCTGACCAATACCAACTTGGGGAGGAAAGGGTTTACTTGGCTTACATCTCCCAGGCCATTAGGGAGCCCAAGGTAGGAACTCAGGGCAGGAACCTGGAGGCAGGAGCCGGAGCACAAGCCATGGGGGAACACTACTTACTGGCTTGCTCCCCTGGCCCAACCTCAGCCTGCTTTCTTAGACAATACAGAACAACCTGACCAGGAGTAGCACCACCCCAGTGGGCTGGGCCCTCCCACATCACTCAACAATCAAGAAGATGCCCCACAGACATGTCCACAGGCCAGTCCAATGGAGGAAATTCCCCAACTGAGGCTCCCTCAACCCAGGTGTGTCAAATTGACAAAGCTATCCAGCATAAACCCTGAAGGTAGGCAGCATCGCCCCATGGGAGAGGGTCCCAGACTGAATAAAAAGAATCAAGCTGGGGCTGGAGAGATGGCTCAGTGGTTAAGAGCACTGACTGCTCTTGCAAAGGACCCAGGTTTGATTCCTGGCACCCACATGGCGGCTACAAACCGTCTTGACTCCAGTTCCAGGGGAATCCGAAGCCCTCTTCTGACCTCTGTGACACTGCATGACATGGGTGCACTCACATACATGCAGGCAATACACATACACATAAAATAAAAATAAGAACTAAGAGATATATTAAAAAAGAAACTTTGTACTCCAGCACTTGGTTGACAGAGAGGCCGAGTGTCAGGAAGGGTCCACCGAAGGCTCCAACTTGTGAACATGCAAATCCACTTGAAAGAAGAGAGCATGGTGCTTGCTTTGCAGGCATGCCAAATGCAAACACGGGAGCATCATGGAGGCTTGCCCTAAAGATCCAGAAAGTCACTGAGACCAGGCAATGTATGGCAGAGTTGTGTCCTGTAAGCAGGCCCTGAGAGGGCATTGGGTAAAGCTGCAAAGATCCCCAGGATGTTGGAGATGCCAAGGCCACGGGATGTCTGCCAAGGAAAGCTGTGCGCAGAGGCAGAGCAGGGGGTGGGGCTGCCCAAGGCTGTTGGAGTCCAGGTGATTCCAGCACAAGCCCTAGATGTTCGACCCCAAACTGCAGGGTTTCCTATCTGCCAAACTGTGATTCAGTCTTGCTCCGGTCTGACCCTTCCTTGTCATCCGTTCCCTCTTTTAGAACGGGAATATCTACTCTGTGCAGTGCGAGGTAAGCGTAAGACTTAGACCACGAGTGAGAAGTCATTTAAAAGCGATGTGTGAGCTAGCAAGACAGACCTAAAAACACTTTCCTCCAAGGCTGACCGTGTGAGGCCCACATGGTGGAAGGAGAGAATCTCCTCCCACAAGTTGCCTTGACCTCCACACACACGCCATGGCACACAGCTACGCCTCACCACACATTGCACTAGTTACTTTTCTGGTGCTATGATAAAACACCATGACCAAGGGAATTTATGGAAGAAAGCGTTTGTTTTGGCGTATGGTTCAGGGAGGCACAGCAGCAAGAGACAGGCATGGGGAGGCAGGCACGGGGAGGCAGGCATGGGGAGGCAGGCACGGGGAGGCAGGCATGGGGAGGCAGGCACAGCAGCAAGAGGCAGGCACGGGGAGGCAGGCATGGGGAGGCAGGCACAGCAGCCAGAGGCAGGCACAGGGAGGCAGGCACGGTGACAGGAGCAAGATGCTGAGAGAATACTTTTTTGATGGTTTGTTTTGTTTTGTTTTGTTTTGTTTTGTGAGACCAGGTCTTACTATGTAGCCCTAACTGGCCTGGAACTCACAGATACCCATCTGCCTCTGCCTCTGCCTCCCAAGTGCTGAGGTTAAAGGTGTGTGCCACCACACCCAGCCAGAGCTCACATCTTGAACCACAAACACAAAGCAGGCTGGAAGTGGGACCATACTATGAGCTCTCAAAACCTATCCCCCCAGTGACACACTTCCTCCAGCAAGGCAACACCTCCTAAAGAGTCCATGACCTTCCAAACAGCACCACCAACTGGGGACAAAGTGTTCAAATACATGAGCCTATGGGGACATTCCTCATTCAAACCACCACACACATATACAAATAAATATAATATAAAAAATTGTAATAAAAGTGATGTGTTTGGGAGTCAAATGGACAAGGACCAGACTTTTGATTGCTAATCTTGCCAAATGGCCAGATTTAGAATCATCTAGATGAACCTCCATGTTCATGAGAGCTTTACCAGAGAGGTTTAACTGCTATGGGAAGAGCCGCCCTGAATGTGGGCAGCGCATACTCAACCCAGACTGAACAGAAAGGAGAAGGCAGGTTGGAGCACCAGCATTCATCTACTGCTGCTGCCTGACTGTAGATGCCTGTGACCAGCTGCCCAGGCTCCTGCCACCATGCCTTCCCACCATGACGGATTGTATCTCACCCCCCGCCTTTTAAACTGGGATTCAAAATAATTCCTTCCTTCTTCAAGTTGCTTTCATCAGCAATGAGAACGGCAGCTGATGTGTCTACTTCCCCTGCTCCTGTGTGACCCCCGATGCTACCCTCCTTGAGGTGCAGCCTTAGCAAAGTCACGGTTCCCACAGGACGAGGGTGGCTGGGGCAGGGCTCACTGACCAGTCCCTTCCTTCACCACATCCCTGCTGTTTAGGTCTTGGAACTGCTGGCTGATTGCTCGTGATTTCCAGCAGTGCCTCCAGGCCTAACTTCCTCAAAAGACCCAACCCAGTCAAATCCAGGCTGTTGTAGGGATAGCCCCAGATCAGAGGTGGGGGTCTGCTCCTGCCAGCCACCTCTCTCCCGTTTTCTCCAGCAGCCAGCCACAGTACAGTCTAGCATGTACCTCTAACAGGACTGGCAGTCTTCTCACGATGCCCTTACAACCTGCAATGGCTCCAAGCGTACCACCGGGCCATACTCAGGTGCAGTGAAGACATACTTTGGGAGACCTTAGAGCTTTGTTACATTAGTCTCTCCCCCACGTAATTCCCACAGCTCATGTGGTCCTGGGGCTGGTGGTGGAGACAGTGACACACTTCTCTCTTAGTGACACTCTGACTTTAGAAGCTGAGCACCCAGTGCAGAGTAAGAGGTCAACCCCATCCCTTTAGTTACCCTACCAACGGGGAAAGATGAGGTCAGAGCCCAGAATCCTCAGCAGCACTGAACCCAAGGCTGTACCTCGGACCCACAAATGGGGGCTGAGCTTAACAGCAGAGCCTCCCCTCTGGGAGGGGTGGAGCTATCCTTTCCAGAAAGCCCTCCTACCAGGGCTTTCTTGACTGTACCCATCTAGAGTAGACTTTCTGCCTCCCTGAGTTGGCAGGTGGAGAGAGAAAGCAGGCCTTGGCTTTAAGAGTCAATACTAGAGAGTCTGTCCTCCCTGAATTTAATAGCTCTTATTGAACAAACACTGATATGTGTTGCTCTTTGGGTCACTTGCAGAGACCTTAAACAGTTGGATGTAACATTTTGTTTTTATAATTTTCTTTTTTTTTTTTTTTTTTTTTTTTTTGTCTCCCTGTAGCCCCAGCTGGCCTGGAACTCACTAGATATCACTATGTACCAGGCTGGCCCTAAACGCACAGAGATCTGCCTGCCTCTGCCTCCCAAATGCTGGGATTAAAGGTCTGCGCCACCACACCCAGCTCTATAATTTTCTATTTTAAAATTTTATTATTGGGGTTGGAGAGATGGCTCAGCAGTTAAGAACACTGACTGTTCTTGCAGACATAACACATACACATAAAGTTAAAATAATAAAATATTTTTTAAAATTAATTTTTTTTTTATTTTATGTGTATGAGTGTATTGCTTGAATGTACGTAAGTGCACCCATGTTGTGCAATGCTCAAAGAGGTCAGAAAAGGGCACTGAATCCCCTGGAACTGGAGTTACAGGAGTTATCTGCCATGTGGGTGCTGAGAATCGAACTCGAGTCCTCTGGAAGAACAGCAAGTGTTCTTAACTGCCGAGCCATCTCTCCAGCCCTACACAGTTGTCTTGCTGGGGAGCAGGTTATTTTATGATTCTGCTTCAATTCAGGAGGAGAAGATGGAAGAGCCATGCCCTTGTATCTCAACTATTTTTCCATTTGGAGTCCCTGCTTTTAGTCAGAACTCCCTTTAGAATTATTAGGTGAGTGTGCTAATAACTCAACTTCTGTTATCTGGGAATGTTTTGATTTTGCCTTCACTTTCTTAAAGATAGTGTATTAGTTACTTTTCTGATGCTGTGATAAAACATCATGCCCAAAAGCAACTTATAAAAGGAAGAGTTGGGCTTACAGTGCCAGAGGGAGAGTCTGTAATGGCTGGGGAGGCTCGGCAGCCACAGCAGAAAGCTGAGAACTCGCACCTTAGCTCACATACCCCAAACAGAAAGAGCAGGCAGGGTGAGACTGTGAACTCTCAGCCTAGCCCCAGTGAGACACTTCCACTTCCTAAGGATCCCATGACCAGCTCCGACAGCGCCACCAGCTGGGCCCACGCACCAAGTGTTCAAATACTTGAGCCCATGGGGGACATTTCTCATTCAACCCAACACAGAGTTTTGCTACATATAAAATCTTGGTAAAGAGTAATTTCTGATGAGAAGTCAACTGTTAGTCTTGCTAGGCTCCCTTGTACGCACCAAGCTGTTTTTTTCTGGATGCTCTCAAAGGTTTTTCTCTAGTCCTTGGGTTTCTGGCCTTTTATCATAACGTGTTTGTGGATTTCTTTGCACATCGCTGTCTTGGGCTGTGTTTATTTTCTAGAATGTATTGGTTGGCATTTTTGGTAATACTTGTGATGCTGTAAGCCCATGTACCTCTGAATACTTTTCTGCTACTGTCTCTTTCTCCTCTTCTGGCTCCCCATCACAGAGACGCTGATCTGCTCACCAGTGCTCCCACCAAGCCTCTATTCATGTGCCCTTACACTTCTCTGTCATGCTGTCTTCAGGGTTGCTGATTATTTTCTCTGTCAGCTGAGACCCTCTAAATTGTTTTAAATTTTGGATTGCACTAACTATGAACAACAGAATTTCTGCTTGGCTCTTTTCCATATTCTCTGTTCTCTTCACTAATGTTCTCTACTAGGAAGACACTGCTGCAGCCTCTCCCTTTGCTTCTCACATCAGTTTCCTTTAGTTCCTTGAATATGTTCATAATGGCTCCTTTCATGATTTTCCCTGTCAGTTCTGACTCCTGGCCTCTAACTGGGAGTTTCTGTGGCCCATCCTGCCCCCAGGCACATATGGGACTTGCCCATTTCTCCGCACGCGGCAGCAGTTCTGGGCCCTGACCCCGCACCCCACCCTGGGTTTGCTGCTGCAGTTTGTTTGCTCAGTGGCCACCTGGGCAGTCTGTGAGGTGTCCGCACCCCACAGCTGGACAATTCTGATACTGTTCCATGCAGACTGCAGTCTGGGACACGGCCACAGTACCTCTGGATGACAATCACTAGGACAGAAATCTGTCTCTGATCAGGACTGTGTCCAGATACTAACCCCACCAGTGGTGAGCTGCTGGTTCCATCAGTTTCAGAAATGTCCTGGCACATGAATGGCTCCTCAGAATGGTGGATCACACTTTAGACTTTGAAGGGGAAAGTCCCCATGTTTAAGACTTGTTCTGAACTCAGAGTGCTCCCCTACCCACTTCTGTCCTGGTTCTCTCTGGTAGTGAGCCATCCTGTAGTCAGCACACATCTCCAGTGGACGTATAATTCCCTCCCAGTCACCTCTCCCCATCAGGCTTGAACTGGTCCATGTGCTGTTGAAAACTGAGTCAGTTTCTTTATCAAAGCTTGCCATGTTACAGCACTGTGCTAAGGCTCTGGAGACAGGGTGGGGAAACAGAAAATCTCTCCATGGGTAACAGCCCCACTTCAGGATCTACTCTCCAGTGAGGCCTGCCTGTGAAGAGGGTTAGATACACAGCATTCTGAGTGGTGTCATACCTGTGCCCCACAGAGCCTGTGCCCCACAGTAGATCATCTCTCAGTCACACTGGCCAGGACTCTGCCTCCACACGCCTTCATCTCTCAGTCACATTGGCCAGGACTCCAGATGGGAGGGCTATCCTCATGTCAGGGGGAAGATAGTATGTGTAGGCATAGACAAAGGTACAGAAGAGGGTCGTGGATGCATTTGTGTGTGTGTGTGTGTGAGTGTGAGAGAGGTAGGGGGAAGAGAGGGAGACAGAGAGAGACAGAGAGATTGAGTTGGTAAGTGGATGAGGGGTTTGTATAGAGTGGTGGGTGGGTATATAGGGAGAGTTGAAGTGGGAATGTTGGGAGGGGTAAAGGGTATTATAGGTGAATGTGCATTTGGGTGTGTGTGCACTAGTACAGTATGTGGATTCTGGGGGTGGATGTGGAGTGCCAGTATGCTTATAGCAGAATGTGGCTAGTAAGGAGGCTGTGTGTAAGAGAAGGCAGTCAGCCAGAGTAGGAGTGAGGGGTGTAGATGGCTCTGTGTGGTGGCCATGTCACTGGGAACAACTGTGGGGAATGGGTTAGTGGATGTGAGTGTGGCTGCTGGGGAGGGTTAGGGTGTGTGCAGAGATCTTAGCGGTTAGGGACATGAGTGTGGGGGATATGAGTGGAGGGGTGTGAGTATGCAGGGGCATGAGTGCACGGGGGTGTGAATGTGCAGGAGTGTGAGTGTGCAGAGGGTATGCGTGTGCAGGGATATGTGTGTGCAGGGAGTATGAGTGTGCAGGGATATGTGTGTGCAGAGGGTATGTGTGCAGGGATGTGTGAGAAGGGAGTATGAGTGTGCAGGGAATGTGAGTGTGCAAATGTTTATGAGTGTGTGGGCGTGTAAGTGTGCAGAGGGTGTGAATATGCAGTGAGTGTGGGGGTGTGAGTGTATAGGTGTGAATGTACAGGAGGTGTGAGGTGCAGTGGGTGTGAGTGTGTGGATGTGTGAGTGTGCAGGGGCTATGAGTGTGTCGTGTGTGAGTGTACAACGGTGTGAGTAGAGGGGTGTAAGTGTGTTGGGGTAGGCATGTGCATATGTGTGGCAGGCAGATGTGACTGTGGGATGGTGGAGGGTTGAACCTGTTGGGGGAGGGGAAGCACTGGCCCTGTGCAATTGTGTCTGGATTTGTGAACATGTGAAAGGTGTGGTGTGTATGCAGGGAGGGATGGCTTTACATGGTTTCTGTTAAGTGTTGGGGTGCATAGAGGTAGGGTGGGGTCTGTGGTGGAGGTGGAAGTTCATGTGTTGTGTGGGTGGATGAATGTGTATTGGGGGTATTATAAGTAAAGGCATCTGTGGGGTGCCAGTGGCCATAAGGATGTGAATGCAGGGTAGACGAATGGGATGTGGGTAGCGTGGCCAGTGGACCTGTGTGGGAAGGTTGGTGAAGGGACAGCTGGGGTACAATATGGCTATGAAAGTGACCTTGGCAGGGACATTTGTCACTGGGAGACAGAAGGCCTGGTGAGTGAGGGAGTATTGGGGTAACAGCAAAACAAGAGCAGGCACCCTGCCAGCCTCATCCACCTCTCTTGCTCAGGTACAGCATCTTCATGTCCAACTGACTCTCCTTGCTGAGGACGGCACGCCGCAGCTGCACACCCATGTATTCCAGCAGCCTCTTCCGAGCCATGAACGTCTCCCGCTCTGCTGGCATCAGTGCATGGAAGGGGCAGTGGGCAATCTTCCGGTCCTGTGATAGAGGACCGAGTCACTGTGAGTCCCTGGGGCTACCACTCCCCAGTCAGGCACAACCCAAGGGTCCATCCCAGTCCACACTGCAGAGAATGGGCAAGCAGGCCACCTTTCCATCTGTGGTCACAGGACTGTGAGAACGCAGAAAGACACTCACCCTCCTGGTTTGCCTAGGAGAAGCCAAGGCTCAGAGGGGCCCTGCTCAGAACAAAGCCACACCTGGTAGAATCTGAAGTAACCATAGTCCACAGCTGTGCCCACTGCCATCTTTTCACCCTGCACCAGTATCACGGGCTTCAGGATGTCCGCCCCATAGTTAATAAGCCGGTCAATCTGCAGAACACAGAATCTGTCAAGCACACAAGGCCACTGGAGTGGTAACAGAAGCCACCTTCATCACTGGACTGTATGGGGTAGCCCCACACTGTGACCAAGTGTTGAGGCACGTGGCTCCCAGGACACACTCACTGGACAGCTCAAAGACAGCCCTGCCTCCTGTATAGAAGCCGCCCTCCAGGTGTGAGAGTCAGAGACAAATAGGGTAGAGGGTTGACCTCAGGGATAAGAAGTTAGGATCCAGCCTCATCCTAAGACGCTACTACCTAAGGCAGCCTTCCTCACTCAGAGCGATCTGTCCATCCATGCTCACAGCAACATCAACATCACAGCATCTAACACATGGAAACTTCTGATGGACGGATGGAGACACAATGTGGCACGCACATACATTGGGAGTATTACTCAGCCTTCAAAAGCTCCATCTAGCTTACACAGGCCAACAGCATCCTCGGCCAGCACACCAGGAGGCACAGACTGACAACTTATTTCATCAGTGACACCAGACAGCTTACCAGTCACAGCAGATGTAACCCCACTCCCGGGATGACAAAAGAGCACCCGGAGACCCGGAGATGGCAGCACACAGGCCGACCACATGCTTACTTTTACAAGCCTTGCACAGGACAAGCAAAGACTCCCTGTTCCCGAGACTCAGCTCACATGTGGTTTCACTGTGACTTGTGCCCACTTCACCCTGACCCTTGGAACTACCTGCCACCTGATGCATTTGACAGTTCTGTACCGAGCATCTTTGCACCTGTTCAGGAAACTTCTGTGCCCTTCCCTGCAGAGTCCCTCCCCACGTCTCTGCGTTCTGCCTCTGCTGCTGGCGCCTCTTGGAACCATTTTTAACCATTGCATAACCTTACACAGTATGTGAAGTGCAGTGTGTGGTCTGAGAGTTCGTAACATTGGTAATGAAGACCAGAGTGCAGTAAAAGAAGCAAGTGGAATTCACTGAAATCAGGAGTGTCAGGTGAGCAGCAGCCTGTGGAATAGATACAGCTGGAATCTACTGTTATTCAGTAAATTCTACCTGGGTGTGCCCCTCTGCAGTCCCAGCGCTCAGGGAGCTGAGGCAGATTAAAGTCTCAGGCCAGCCTGGGCTACAGAATAAGACCCCGTCTCAAAAAATAAATAAATAAATAAAAACAAATGAATGCACTCTGACATTGCGGAAAGGTACAAATGTGTGGTCTAAGCATTCTTGGCGCAGTGCGTTCGCAGCACAGGTCACACATCCCGGGTTCTGGGAAGGCCAGAAAGCACAGGCAGATCTGCCCAGGTCCACACACTGCTGACAGCCCAGTGCCATTTCATTCTCCAAGAACTATTTGAGGTGGTGTTGGGTGCTCATGTCCTTTAGTCTGCCTTAGTCAGGACCGGATCTTAGGATGACCCAGCCCTCCCTACTCTGGGCCCAGCCTGTCCCCCGATCCAGCCCCCTCCCCGTCCTCTCACCAGGGCAATCTTGTTGTCAGTGCTTCTCTGTTGCTCGTAGGCCAGGTCACAGACAACACACAGGGCCGTGCCCAAGCCTTTGGTCAGGGGCAAGTTGGGGTCAGCTCCCTGGGCCAGGAGCTCCTTCACAACCTGGACATACACAGAGACTCCTCAGCAGCCATAACCCAGGAAAATTTCCACAGGTTCCACCCACGGTACCATTGCTGGCCCCCTTCCACAGAGGACCATGATGGGTAGGGTCACAGCAGGCCCCTTAGGGAGGAGCTACAATTCTACCCCAGGCCTATTTCTGGCACTTTCTCTGTAGACAGCCAATGCAGCTGCCTTGTCAGGCCTTGTTCTGTCTTGCTTTCCAGTCTGGGGAAGAGCAGTGGTCAAGGACAAGTCTTGTCCAGTCCCTCTGGCTGCTCCTCCCCTGCTAAGCTTTTCCTTCATTGCACTGATCAGATTCTGAAAATGTGTTCCATGCTGGTGTATGGTCTGACTCCCCAGCTATATAACACAGGGTGCTTGAGAGCATCAACTTTATTCAAAAAGCTACTGCTCATTAAACATAGGTTAAAAGAAAGGACTGATGAGTGGACGGTGGGTGGGTAGATGAATGGGTGAATGGATGGGTGGATAGATGGGTAGATATGTGAACAATTGATGTATGGATGGTTGAACAGATCACTAATGAGCAGGTGATGTAAAATCCAGGTAAGATAAACCAAAAAAACC